TTTATCTGAGGAGCAGACTGCTTTGAATTTAACTTCATTGTAGAATTCTCATACTATGAATCACTTTCGTTGCATTAGGTTCACTCATCTCCTAATGCATGGATGCAAAACAAAATTAATCTCCGGGCAAACATAAATACATAAATATCTAATTTACAGCCAACAAATTAGTCTTCTTCAGTTCAGTTTAATATCAACATTAACTACTTCAGTCCAAATATTAGATTGGGTTTCTTAATGTTTAGAAATGTCAAGTCAAGTTTATCTATAAAGCACATTTAAAACAGTACCTGTTACCAAAGTGCTTAACAATGAGAGTTTCATGTCTAATGCCAGAACACCAGCAGCTGCTGTTAGGGTGAGGCCAGAACTGACAAAACAAGCACTAAAACACTCACAAAGAGCTGCCAAGAAAAATACAAACCCACTGAGAGCAATAGTATCCAAATTCAAGAATACCTTAACTAAACTTGTTTTTGGATTACTTCAAATGGAAAATAATTATATAGAATCAAGATTAGAGCTAAATTGCTTTTTATTAGAATTGTCATGTTGTAACTTGTCAAAATGATCTTATTTTGTTTCATACTATGCCTTTTAAAAATACTTAAAGTCTGCTTTGATCTGTAAAGGTTACTCTTATGTTTGAAAGGTGCTACATAAAAAAGTAACCAAAACTGAAAAGCTAAAATCGAATACATACTTTTACACGACTTTTTCTTTTATCAGAACTCTTGCTACAGTATTTTGGATTGGTTTACAGCGAATTTCAGTGACATCCTGATGATAAAAAAAGCAACAAAACCAATACAAATAACCAATAAACCAGCCTATTCTTTAATTATATTTACCGGGAGGTAAACTCGTACTGACAAGTGCAATATATTAGTTGTACTCAAAAATCTATTAGAAGTTAACACTAGTTTAAATTGGTTGTAAATTTCCATCAAAGGATGAATTTGTATATTGTGATTCGGCCTGTCAGGAGATTACATGGATGTGATGTTCTGTAGGTAGCTGACAGGAAGTCTGAGCAGGTTATTAGGTTTCGTTTATCGTCATCACTTTGTAAGTCACTTTTAAGCGTTTATTTTCCTTTCATATTGTTCACTGACCCACGTCCTGTGAGTTCCACCTCTGTTCCCAAAACAAACAACTCAAAGTTGAGTCAAGGTTTGACTTTAACTCTTGACATGACAAATGTCGCAACAGAAAAAAATAAAATAAAAATCCTCAAGTTTCTTCTGATGTTTAATTCAGTTTGACTTTAAATTTTTATTTGTTGTACAAGAATAAAACACGAATGATTGAAAAGAGAATATGTAAAGGATACATAAAAGATAAAGAAGCAGTCACAGTAGGTCACATGATGATATTATCAAACATTCTCCCTCTCTGAAACATCGAAGCTATTTATGTTCTCCGGCTGTCTTTAAAACCCTGCTTAGGATGACGCACAGTCACAGCTAACAAACTCAGAGTTTAGTGTTTGGGTGTGTCAACAATCATGTGCTTTCCAGAAAGCCATCCCAGGTAAATATAGTATGTGGATGTGGTATTTTGGAAAAACACAACAAGTTTGTTGTGTAGTAAACAAACAGCTACAAACCAGGATGTGATTAAGTCAAACACAACAGTCAGGAAGCTATAGACATTAAACTTTAATGGGTTGTTTTCAGAAAATGTCTTTCAAAGTATTATAGGATTGAATACCTGGATGGACTTTGTTGTCTTTCAAAGTAAACATTACAAGTTAGAGAGTTATGCTCACATCATTGACGAAAATATTAAAATGAGTCTTTACTGTAAACTTAGAAGAAGAGCTGCAGCAGAAACAAGTTAAAACAAGACCCAATACGTAATAAAGCAAGTATTGTGTTCATTCGAAGCTAACAAAAGGACTGTATTCTCTTAAAATAGTTAAGTAGTTTTAAACAAAGCACCATTCAGGAAATGCAGAGGATTTAAAATGGGATCAAGTAGTTGCTTTGTCCAGGGTAAGGATAAACTCGTCTGACAGGTTTACTACACCTGGCTCCACTCATGCCGGCTCTGTGTGTGCACTCATCGCTGTCCGTCCTGCAGGCACCACAGTGGCAGCTGAGAGCCACTGGAAAGGTAAACACAGGGTTGGCGTGAATGGAGCAGCCGGGCAGAATGGTTGTGCGGTACTCCATCCTGTCGTAGGTGCAGCCTCTCTGGATAAGGAAGCGTGGGCGGAGAACATCTCGCATGTTGCTGTCCTGAATGATGCACAGACCAATGGGAAACAACCGATGAATGATCTCGGAACACATTCTGATCGCTTGAGCGCATCTTTCCGAGACCGATGAAAGAAACACAGCAGGCGTGCCAAAGTTCATCTCTTTGTGATGTTCATACTGTGTCAGTATGTCTGTTTAAATATTCTTTCTTCACGCTTCAACATGTAAGAATAAATACTGTTGTTCAGTAAATGTAACAAATAAGTTTATGTTGATTCTGTTTTAAAATGTGCTCTATAAATAAAGTTGACTTCTTGTGTTTCTGAACAAATTAAACAGAACTGCACACGTAAAAATATAAAACACAAGTATATATATCAAAACTGGAAGTACAAGATTATATTTTAAGAACTGTAGATCAGACATGATTATTTTTGTCCCCCGTTGTGGAGCGAAGAGGACAAAAATACCATGCATGCTGTGTGAGCATGCTAACTTGAAACATAAGAGAGGCTTCCAATTTGGTGTGTGTCTGGATCTAGGTGAAAGAACAGTACCGATCAAAAATTGCTTTCTAGTGTTTATATTGCTTAAAAGTATAGTTTACTAAAATGATTGGGGTGGCTGAAAATAAATCAATGTCAAACTCCTACAAAAATGTTATGCGACTGGTACAGTTTGGTTTTTGTGGTGACGTTTTTACTTTAGAACAAAATAGTTGGTGGTTAAAAGGTTGCTTTACAAGTTACTGCTATAAAAACTGTTGATACAAATATTTGTGGATCAGAAAGTCTACGATCAAACTTGTGTAAGAATTATTTTAAACTGACAATATATTAAATACATTGAACATTTCCATCCATCCATCCATCCATCCATCCATCCATCCATCAAGCCATCCATCCAGCCATCCATCCAGCCATCTTTACTCGTTTCGTCCTTTTCAGGTCGTGAGGGTCACTGGTGCCCATATCCAGCAGTCACAGTGTGAGAAGAGGGGGACACCCTGGACAGGTCTCCAGTCCATCACAGGGACAAATAGAGACAAATGAGACAACCATTCACTCTCTCACTCACACCTAAGGACAATTTAGAGTTACCAGTCAGCCTAGCATGCATGTTTTTGGTATGGGGGAGGAAACCGGAGTACCCGGAGAAAACCCATGCATGCACAGAGAGAACATGCAGACTCCAGCCAGGATGTCCCCCTGTCCGGGGTTTGATCCGGCAACCTTCTCACCGAGGAGCGGCAGGTCTACCACTGCTCCACTGTGCCGCCCCGTTTCTATACAGAAAACGTAAACTAACTTAAATTTAGTTTAATTTTGTCTAATTATCTTAACAACACAAAAGTATTTACGTTAGTGACGATTATTATTTATAATATTATTTTTCTAAATGTTTAGTTTTACACCAATGTCTTAAAGGTTTTATATTACATTTTTAAAAACTGAAATTATATTTTTTCATATTTCATTGTTTTTTTTTTAAGGGTAGTAAATGTAATGAAATCTCCCAGTCAAAACGGTAATGAGACTAACTGTCCATTTTTTTTAAACTAAAAATAAAAGGCAGCTTTTAGTTCTATCAGAATGAAGTGCATACCCTTGAGAAGCAAAATCCAGTACAGATGGTGGTGTTGACTGCCACACAGTAGTCACATTCTGGCTTTTCCACATACAGCGTGAAGTCCGTTGGGAGACACATGGGGACAGCTGGACAAAACAGCAGAAAAAGGAGCCAGCAGCTTAAAACTGTTGTGTCCATTTTTGTCTAAATGTGCTTTTTCCTCCAATTATTTTTGGCCCTGCAACATAAAATAAAAGACAAATAGACAAATGAACACGGATAAAAGAAGTTTGTTTTCTTGAACAAGTTTTCTCTCAACGTGAAAATCACCTTGAGAGACCCGACTTCTTAAAGACCCGACAAGATTCTGTCTGAAGAACTTTGCTCAATAGTATTTATACACAATTATATAATCCATCTTAATCCAAGATAACTCTTATCTACGATCAATGACGAAAAAAGATGCAGTGAACTTTTAGTCCATTTTCTAGATGACATAAATAATAATATTCTTCATAATGGAAGCTCATGCAACAACCATGCAATTATAACCAAAGTAGCCTCTGGGCCAGTGTCCACTAGATGTCAGGAAACACCATGAAGCTTTACTTATGCTTGAAAGAATACACATTTTACTAAGAAAATACATAAATTTTAACTTAAGTTTACTATACTTTCTCATAACAAACCCGTCTGTCACTGTTTTGATTAAAAGTTAACTGAAAGGTTTTCACAATGGCTGTGAAAGTGTCAGAGCGTGTTCAAAGGAAGTTTCTGTTGAGTTAAAAATTTACACTAATATGAGCAGCAGCATAAGCAGGAAAAAAAAAAAAATCTGTCTCAGCACATATTTGTACCAACCATTCTAAAAAGAAACATCGACTGCAGGTTTATCTAATCTGTTTTCAAAGTAGGTAAAACCGGCAGCAGTAGACGTCAGTTTTTATGCCATTGGTGAACTCGTCAGGGACAATAAAAAAACGGTCTAAAATGAAAGATCCCCACCCTACACATCCATTGTACAGAGCGTTATTATCTATTCATTCATTTAATGATTAGTCAGAATAGTAAAATTCTTGTGAACACATTAAGTAATTATTAGACTATTTAAAATCGCTGTGTTGGTTTGGCGTTTTGTTTTTTCATGAGAATTCATCCTGATTAAATTAAATGTGCTCTCATGTCAGAATACACAATGCACTGATATTTCTCTCCTTTTAAAGCTTTTTTTTTTTTTTAAATCAACAGTTTATTTGTCTCCACCACGCTTGATTTCCTATCCTTTATCAAAAAGTCAGAATAATACTGAAAAGTCTGTCAATTTGTGCATTAAGTATTTGTTTCTTTTTTTTTATTTACTTGAAAAATATATTGATGTGTGAATATTTTTTGTTAATGTATTTCTAAACTTTCTTGTTATTTCATTCCTGGTTAAAAAACCTGACTTTTTGCTAACTTATAACATTTTTAGACATTTTTAGGTGGGGAATGGTGGTGCAGAGAAGGCGGGCCTGTGATCAGAAGATCACAGGTTCAACTCCAGATACCTACGACATCAAAATGTGAGTGGGATAGGTGAAGCACCCACACCTGCCTCCACCCTCATTTGCCCCACTCTGTGCCCTTGAGCAAGGCTCTTAAACCCCATCATCTGCTCCCCTGGGCACCCTACATAGCTGCTGTATGCTCCACACAGAGGGCTGTGGTAGCTCAGTGGTCAGGAAGGGCATCCGGCGTAAAAGCAATTGCCAAATCTTCGTGCGACTCGGTTCACTGTGGCAACCCCTGAAGAAAGCAGAAGCCGAAAGAAGGCAAAATAATAATTTTTAGGTTCAATACTTGGTATGCTTTTAACAAAGATTCTTGGCAAAAATGTAAACTTTCTCTTCTAGATTTAGTTTTTTTACTTAAGCCTGCTTTTTTCTTGATGATTGTTTTGACTTTGAAGTGAAATTCGTATCCGAAAATAGTAAATGATAAAAACAGGTGATGAAAAAATAATCACACGTGACAACAATTCAGAAGCAGGAGTAATGACCAAACCCTGAAGATTTTACACTCCCTCCTTTTGGACTTCCTTATTTAACCAAAGGGTACTGAGTAACCTGGACATATAAACAGACCTGTCTTTAAGAGTGTCACTCCATCATTCCATTTCCAGAGGAAAATAGATTTATTGACAACAAGCAGCTTTTTCCTCGCCATGAGATTGCAACCAGCAACCTAGTAAAAGATCATTTTGTTTTATAATCACAACAATTATGACAAGCTTCACTGCCTTGTGTCCTTGATGGATCATTAACTAAAGTGAACTAATCTTTATTGTCTGCTGAATGGATCAGAGCTGACTAGACTTCAGTTGCACGGGAGATGGTTAATATATTTCACTGAACTGCTGTTTGTTGATGTGACAGCTGGGAGCAATGGAGAACTGAAAGCTGGAAATCTTTGGATTATCTACGTGCTGCTGAAGGTTTGAAGGGAAACTTACAGATGTGTCAAATTTGAATAGATCTAACTATTGGTAGAGTATTTTTGTACCATATTTAGTGCATCTATTTTTTTTTTTTTTTTTTTTTTAGAAAATGGAATTTGCATAAATGGACTGGTAACAAACATCAAACATTAGCAAGCCTGAATGGTACGAGTGCATTTTTCACTGTAACCAAAGGTCAGAGAATAGCAACCGTAGAACTTCGTTTACTCTTTGTGTCTAATTAAAGATGGCTGGAACAGGCGGCCCAGTGGCCACTTTCTCTGTCTGGGATTATGTGGTGTTTGCCGGAACAATTCTGTTTGCTGCTGGAATTGGCCTTTTCCAAGCCATCCGGGGTCGCAAGGAGACCAGCAGTGCCGAGTTTTTGTTAGGGGGACGACAAATGACAGCCGTACCAGTGGCCATGTCGCTAACAGCCAGCTTCATGTCTGGCATCACAGTCATTGGCACACCTGCTGAGGCTTACCGGTTTGGTACTGCCTTCTGGCTCTTTGGTTTCGCGTACGCCATCATGTCTGCCATCACCGCTGAAATCTTCGTTCCTCTTTTCTACCGACTGGGGATCACCAGTGCCTATGAGGTAGGAACAGAAGAAAAACTGTTAATTATTATACAGAAAGAAATGACTTGGTGATTATGAAATGTCTTCAGCTATTAAAAAAGATCACTGGAACTGATATGCTTTATTGGTGATCTTCAGTTCAATCTTTAAATAAAGCAGGCAACATGTTTGTGTATGGTCAACAAACGGGACACATAGTGTCCATATAATGATGCATCACTGGTTCATCTCTTTCATAATAAGTGGGTATAAAAGAAACCAGTGCTGATAATGTATAAAACTGAGACTTTGCAGAAGAGTTGAGCCTCTTTCTTTTTTTTAATTTTTGCAAGAATATTCTTTAGTGGAGCTACACTTTCTGGGCAAAATGCAAAATTTGCTTTATGTTGTGTGTTTAAAAAAAAAAGTATATATTTTTTAATTGACTGCTGTTTTGAATTTTCAGTTTAATATTTTTATGACTTAATTTGTCATTGTTGACTAATTCATTTAACAGTGATGTTTAAATCACTCAAGTTTAAAAAGGCATTTATTAACTCAAGGGATGAACCAGTGCTGTGAAACACACAACATACAACCTGACGCAGAGCCAGTTGGAATGACGTCTTCAGGTGCTTTGTTCTGAGCAAACAACACCCGCTATAAACTAGTTATTAGTTACAAGTAGCAACCGGTGTGGTGTTGACACTAAAACAGCCATTTTAAATTAGGGGCTTATTTTTGTAGTTTATTTTAGTAGCAGCTGGCTATGAAGACACATTTTGAATTCCATTTATTTGTTGAATCTACAGGAAAATACAAAAATATAACATTAAGTGAGTCCTAAACAGTATTCACTAAAAACACTGACAAAGCTCGATGTTGTTATTTTTTTTAAAGAGAACATATGAAGAAAGACCAAAGAAAAAAGTATTAGGTCTTAAAGATTTATCTATGAAAGAAGAACATTATCTAAAAATCATAGAAAACTTGTGGGAAAATGCTAGCTAAGACCAGACACAAGATCAGAGAGAACGTTCATCTAATCCAGGGTTTAGGCTTGTAGGCTTCATCTTCCTGGTGTTGGAGTGGTTTGAACTGAAAGAACACTGTTAAAATAACTTTCAAAACTGAGCAGAAAATAATTGATCCTTTTGAAACACAATGTAAAGAAATCAAAAGCAGCAGCAGATTTTTCATCACAACGTTTATGCCTATAATATGGCTATAAAGTTTTATTTTATTGTCTGATTGTCTATTCCTCTTTCATTATAGTACCTGGAGCTGCGATTCAACCGGCTTATACGGCTAATTGGAACATCAATGTACATCGTGCAGACGGTAACTCATTGTATTAAAAAAAAGCAAAACAAAAACTAAATAAATATTCAGGTAGTTATTGTAATATGATTATCAGCATCTGTTCTTTTTGACTTTATGTACAGATGATTCAAGATACCAGTTTTGTTGTTTCCATCTAATTATCTAATGGGGATATCTTTTTCAGGCTCTGTACACCGGCTTAGTTATCTATGCTCCAGCTCTTGCACTAAACCAAAGTAAGTCAAAATTCACACATAAATCAAAAATTATTTTTGATTTGACTAAATTCTAAACTAGTTGTAGAAAGTCTGGCCTAATATGCTCACAGCGATATATTTTAAATCGATTTATTATATTTCTGAATCTAAAAACTTTTGTTCCCCACTTTAAGTCACTGGGCTGGATCTGTGGGGAGTGCTGGTGGCTACAGGAGCAGTGTGCATTGTTTACTGTACTTTGGTTGGTATGATCTAATAAATACTTTTTTTTTTTTCTAATATTACATTTTGGGGCAAAACAGATTTGATGTGTTAAAGTCATGTTCTTTTTAAATCAAATTTATATTGAGTTTCAAGTAAATAAAGCTTTCTGAAGATTTTCCTAAAATAGCAACAAGATAAACGAGATAGTGAACCAGTTCAAAGAGGAGTTCTGTAGAGTTATCAGCAGCTAGTATCTTACCTGCAGCAGACAGCAGGCTGAATGATCTCAGTTTGAAGAACCAGAGGAACGTTCTCATGGAGGAGTAAAGCTTGCCTCTTCCATGAGAGCATCTCTCTGATTCTCCAAAGCGACTTCACTCCTACTGGTTTCGACTGCAGGTAAAATACTGACATCATAATTCCACAGAACTCCACTTTAAAAAAAATCTGAAATGTTCCTTTAAATATTCCTGTGTATCGTGTGTATTTTGTCCCAGGGTGGTCTGAAGGCGGTCATCTGGACAGATGTGCTGCAGATGGTAATCATGCTGGCAGGATTTGTGGCTGTTATTGCCAGAGGAGCTGTGATACAGGGAGGTCTGACGAGGATTTGGGAAGACGCTGGTGAAGGAGGCCGACTGGATGCTTTTGAGTGCGTAAACAAGAAGACAAATTTTGATACCAAATTAGTGTTTTGTCCATCAAAGGAATTTGATTAGTGTTGAATGTACAAGCGCAGGAAAAACCCAATAGATTTCATAGAAGTAATTTGTGTGACTTAGTTTCAATTGAATACCAAAGGAATTATCTTCCACATAACATTCATTGTGCATGTCAATGAAAAGTGTTGTCTTCAAATCTTTTAACTTTCTGTTGTTCACAGCTTTGACCCAGATCCTCTGAAGCGACATACTTTCTGGACCATTGTAGTTGGTGGAAGCATAATGTGGGTGTCTATTTACTCAATCAATCAGTCTCAGGTGCAGCGCTACATCTCCTGCAAAACCTTAGGACATGCCAAGATGTGAGCAGAACTGTAACGCAACGCCGAAAGGCTTTCTGGCTGTGAGCAGTTTCACGTCCTGACATGTCCTCCTTCATCTTTCAGGTCTTTGTATGTGAACATGGTTGGTTTGTGGGTCACCGTGAGTCTGGCTGTTTTTTCAGGCCTCACCATGTACTCTATTTACAAGAACTGTGACCCACTTTCAAATGGTGATATAACGACCCCAGACCAGGTGCTTCTACCCTTCCGTCACACACAAAGAATGCTTTTAGCGATGTAACAAAACCGTGTGATTTAAAGTAAAGTTGGTTTGTATTTGTAAACCAGCTGCTGCCCTACCTTGTGATGGATATTCTGGCAGACTATCCTGGAATCCCAGGGCTGTTTGTGGCTGCAGCATATAGTGGTACCCTGAGGTGAGACGTCACACAAACATAAAGTCAACTTTAATACATTGTTGTAATAAAAAAAAAAAAAAATGCTTCAATCAGAAAAGATGTAATTTTGGTTATAGAATAAACTTGTAACATCTGGAGTTTGCCGTCATAAAAAAAAAATCCCATTCTTTGCAAAATGTTTTACTTTTAAATGCAAATTGCACCCTTTGCAAAAGAAACAAGCTAAATAAAAAAATTAGTTAAAATGTAAACTAACTTTGAAACTAATCTAACCTTTGCACGTTTTCTCAGCACGGTGTCCTCCAGCATTAACGCTCTTGTTGCCGTCACTGTGGAAGACTTCATTTTTCCTCTGTGCAAAAATCTCACAGCCAAGCAAGTGACCTGGATGAACATGGGTCTGAGTAAGTTGTGCAAAAATGTGGTTTTATTACGCAGCAATACACAAGATTCCTGTTTTATCCTCAGACTCCCTAAAGGTCATGAGATAAAAGTGGAAGCCGCGTCATTATCTAATATCTTTGACAGTTCGCTTGCAAGCCAGCGATAATAATCATGATTAAAAATGAGTTGCAGATATGGACATAAATCATTTTATAACTGAGAACAAAGAAAATAATGCTGATTCAACTCTAAAAATCACCATCTATCTTTCAGTACAAGCAGACTTCACAAAAACTGGGTTAAAGTTAGAACATGCATTACTTCATTACTCAGTTTTTCTTAGAAAAACTTGTAGGTGCAGGAGAGGAGCAGTTCTCAGAACCTCTGTGGAGTCTAAATTAGAGGGTGTGGATTTTGAAGTGAAAGGAATTCCACGGCTCAATCACTTCGCCTGTTTCCTTTAATAGGTCAAACACTACTGAGAATCTGTGGTTTGGAAGCATTTACATTTTACAATCATGGGAATTGTACTTGTTTGCAACAATATGTACTTTGCAAATTATAACAAGGCTTTTAATGATATTTTATGTAATTAAATCTTAGGTGTGTTCTTTGGAGCGTTGTGTATTGGCATGGCTGGGGTTGCTTCAGTGATGGGAAGTGTTCTGCAGGTAAAAGTGTTAAAAGCCACTGTTGCCATTTATTACTCTCCATCCCCACCAAGTGTTGAATAAGAAGAACTGCAGGTCTCCTGAACCCACTCTTCTTTTTTCAGGCAGCTCTGTCCATATTTGGTATGATCAGTGGTCCTCTTCTTGGTCTCTATCTACTAGGCATGCTTTTCCGCACATCAAATTCAATAGTGAGTACTTCTCATTCCTGCAGCTTCTTAAAGCACACCTTTTCACAAAGTCAATAAATGCTGCTAAGAAACAAAATGTGCTAAATCAACATGTTACGCTCAAGTCACTGACTCACTGAGGAAAGAATTTACCAGAGTCACCCTCACCTTTCAGGGAGGACTTTCAGGAATGATCATCGGCCTTGTGTTGACTTTGTGGGTGGGGATCGGAGGCCAGATTTACCCACCGACAGATGACAAGACGAATCCTCTGCCCCTCAGCACTGCAGGCTGCAACAAAACATTGGAGCAAAGCACAACAGCGACACCCTGGACCACTGCACAACCTGCGTTAGTCTGTTCCTTTGAAAACATTTGCTTCTTTTTACATGAATGTTAAGATTAACAGGAACTGTGAAGAGGATGTAACAAGCCGTTAGGAAACTGTGACTCTACAAGAGCTTTACGTTTTTTTTAAATAATTTTATACAGTTATCTTTTTTAGTTTAATGCCTAATCACTAAAATGACAAATTTGTACACCTCAGCAGTTATTTTAAAAATGAATAAAATGGTAAAGTCACTGCATAGAACAAAAAAAAAAAAAAGACTAAATATCCTTGGCTCATTTGTTTTTGTCTTACCTGTTTTAAATGATTGTAAACTACGTTATAACTCAGATCATTGTTACTATTTTCTATCTGTGGACCAAACTTTGAGTCTATAGTCATCTAACTTACCATCAAAAGGAGTTCCAGTAGATGTAAGTGTTAAATATTGTCAGATTTACTAAATTAAATCTATTTCTGTGTCAGTTTCAGGCCTCCTATAGCAGACTCCTGGTACTCTCTGTCATACGTCTACTTTTCTTTGCTCGGCATGCTGACCACAATGATATCTGGCCTGCTGTTAAGCATGATCACAGGTAATTTGTTACCGTAGCGTAAAAAAAGATCAGCTGTACAATTACAAAAACACTTCATATAAAGGCTTGATTTCCATTAAAATAACAAAAGAGATTTAAAATGTGTTTTATAGGTGGATGCAAGCAAGAAAAGCTGAACTCTGATCTGTTTGTCAAGAAGAGTGATTTGCTATGCTTCACCTGTTCCAGTAAATCAAAGGTAAGATGCTGACCCCGTCGATTTGTTAGATAATTAGTAACTAAGTGTCTGTAACAATATAAAACTAATGCTATGTTGTAAACCCACTACAGGGATCAAACGACATACAAAAAGCTTCAGCAGACCTTCACATGGGAGTGGACAACTCAGCGTTTACGGACATCGACGCGACAAGCAAAGAATTTGAAAAGGCCACAAAGTTGTAACACCGTTGTAATTACTTTCATTCTATAAATGCATAAAATGCACAACCTTTTGTATAAACAAGTAACTGAGTCCCTGTATAATTATGTTTTAAACTTAATGTCATAAGTTTCAAATGCTTTGTGTTGCTTACGTTTTACATTTAAGGGTGCATTAAAGTTAGAAACAAATGGAAATGTAAAACTGAAGGAAAACAATAAAACCTTTTCTACGTCATTAACAAAAGATTATTAATAATAGTTTTGTCAACATTGTGTTGCATTTATTGACCTGTTTGTTTGTTCTTAGTGATATCAGATATTATCTTTATATAAACATGCCACCTTCATTTCACGCAAAGGTAGTGAGATCCACTGAATGTTGCATTTGTTTTACAATAAAAAAAAAAACGTTTTAAACACTGGCCCTTTGTTCGTTTTTATATGTAGAAAGTAAAGTGTGCACTCATAATTTGTTCAAAATGTTAAGACATTTTACCTGGAAATAAATATTTTGTACTAAATTTAAATGCAGCACAGACTTAAAAAAGACACTTTTTATATTTTACGCACTAGTCACTGCTCAGGCAGCAGTTTAATGTACTGTGTGTGTAAAATGTACTTTGTGTAACAGGCAGATTGAGCTTTGGACAGGAAGTAACAAAGTCCTTTGTCTCCTTGGTAACAAAGAAATGAGGAAGTTTACAAAGGACTGCCCTGCCCACTTCTACCTGACTCCATGCCACACATTAGCCTTTTATCTGTTCCAGGAAGAAAGTCAAAAGTCAGTCATGATAGAGACAGATTCACAAACAAGAAACAAAACTTACTTTTTCACTAATTCTTAAGCGAGGCGCCAACAAGGTGAGATGCCCTTTTATAAAGTTAATTTATACATTTTTAAGTTGGCTTTGGACTTCAATTGTAACAATGTGCAAGTAAACTATCTTGATCAAGAAATGACAAGTAACAGCTGGTGGTCAGTTATGTATATTTTGTTTATAGTCACGATCCGTGTTCCTAAAAGCCTTTCTTCTTGCATTTATATACTAAAAAGTATCTGCATCTTTAAAATACAATCTTTATAAATATTGCCCAAATCATTGCTAGAGATTAAAACGGTTTCTTACGGTTGAAAATGAACATTATGAAGATGAGGGGAAAATATATGGTTTCATCTACAAAGTAGTTCCCCGTGTTTTATGCATATGTTTAGCTCAAGTTTTGTTTTCCTATACAGGATTTAATAGCTATGGAAACAGTCTCGACTTCCTTGGTTTGTTGCCTTCTGGTGCTTTCCTTTGATGGGGTGCAAACACAAAACCAGCATTTAGTCAACAAAGCTACGGAAAACCCAGGTCTAAGCCTGAAACAAGCATCTAAAGTACCAACTTCAACAAACTCCCTGACCCTGGGAACCACATCATCTGATTTTACTGAAGGCTCAACGCAGTATACCAGCAGCAAAACAGACAATGAACAATTCAGCAGCGCAGCAGCTACGACTGAAAACACAAGTGCATTTCAGACGTCTCAGTCCACCTCGACTTCTCTGACGGATAGTGCATCACTGAAAACCATACCACCGAGCACTGGAACTCCAATGTTCACTTCAACAGCACACACAGTCTATACCACACCTACACCGAGTCCAACTGAAAATTCACCTCCCATTGTCTTTACAACTGTGAATACAACAAACACAACCACACATGGTAAGCATCAGGGACCATGTTCCAATTAGCAGTTTCAGCACATTGTAGGTGTCTGTCCTATTGATGATTTTAACCTTCTGTCATTTTGTGCTGCTAGGTTTGAACCTTAATGGATCTGAAAAGAATTTGACAATAATCTTCAGTGTTGTGCTTGGAGTAATCCTTTTGGCATTGCTTACGATCACATTATGCAAATACAGATACAAAATTCAATACATGCATCAAACACTCGACAACACAAATGAAACAGGTAAGACTCTTTCATTATTTGGTAAATGCCGAGTATTTATTTATTAATAGCAGATAAACATCTAAACTTAAATTTCAACAGATGGACTTGTGGCAGACAACGACACACTAGTGATTTCTGGAGGACTTTATGATGGCCACCCGATCTACGATAATGTACCACCAGTCCCTTCACAACCATCTCAATTTCGCCTCGAGTTTCTTCAATAAACAGATATATTTAGTCCTACAATTTAAAGTGTCGTTTTTGATACTTAGTATTCAATAGCCAAACCCAATTTTTACATACTCAGGTATTTTTGAGACTGAAAATTCAAAGTTGTACAATATAATTTTGTCACAATCATCATGTTGAGAAGGAAAACACTGAACAGCAATATTGAAGGATAACATAGAATAATGCTTCATTTAAACATTTATCAATACTTTTACTTTTAACACTGTCAATACTACAAATACTTAAATACTTAAATATATTAGGATTAAATCTTAAACTACAGCTTTTACAACAGTGACAATGCAACTAAATAGTTAAGTTACTTTTCGTTGTTATTCCTAACAACAGTACAAAATGTACCTTTAAAAAAAGGTGCTTGTGGTTCCTACAAGTTTATTTTACCTACAAATCTTATATCTTATAAATTCTGAAAAGCTCGAAAAGTGTATCTGCAGATACTTTATCTTACCTTAACCTTATCTTACCCTTTTACCTTAACAATAGAAAAAAACTACCAAAAATATCCATGTAATAAAGTCTGAAATCTTCAAAGTATGTAATTGTGGTTACTTTGGGTCTAGTTAGAGTGAAAAGCAAACATCCTCTAAAATGTTCAAATAAAGTGCATCTACTGGTATTTAAAGTTTACCCTCAAGAATAAAGAAAACAAACATACAACACTTGTAATATGTACTTTGAAACCATCTGTTAGTTAACCATGTGGCTAACCTACAAAACTATATATGTTCATCGAGTTCTCACTGTGCAGGATTACTTAAGACACCTGCACCTGTCTACAGGTGTTATCACTGTTACTTTGACCTGTTATGGCAATACTCAGGCAAATATCTTCTCGTCGTTTTTTTTCTTCTTTTTGTCACAACCAGTCACAGCAGTCCAGCCGGCGTCTCTGATTCTCTTTATTGCAGCCATCTTTGAAGAGGTCCCAGGTGAATAAAGAGAGATTGGGCTTTGAATCTGGAAAACAAAAGCATCAACAAAAACGTCCAAATCATCCTCTTTGTCATGAATCCCACTCAGATTCATTATGTATCAAATGTAGCACTACACAGTGACACTCGTACCTTTTTGAGGAGGTTTAATTTGCACTGCGGAACAGAAAGAGCTAGTGCTGGTGTTTCTGAACGGGTCTGTCAGAAAAACAAGTAAATAGTCAAATAATCCATTTAACAAATTTGACCTAAACTATAAACGAAAGAAATAGTAAAACCAACCAGGTTTATAAGAAATGTGTGACAAATAAACATTAACAATGATGAGCAGCACTCACCAAGAGATCAATATGATCAGAACTGTCAGACTTGGGGTCAAGCTCAATGACATGCTTTCCCCAACATCCTGACACCTTTTCAGTAGAGGGGGGAGTCTTTATTCTGTAGGACTGTGAGATTTCACAGGGTAAATGTCAGGAAAAGCCATGTGTGTTTTCTTCATTGTGGAAAATGTCAAAATGATACAGTATATTACTTTGATCTTTGATGTTCCACTGAGCTTGTTAGTATCACCTCCCGGTGTTTTTATACTTCCACTGAGGATGTGCTATAAAGCAAAATCAGTTTCTGTTTGACTTGACAATAAATTTAACAGAAAACAAAAGCACGTATTGCTCTGTATATTCAGTAGCCATAAACAGTACAAATACAATGAACTACCTTTGTCTTTTTTGTTGTTTTACATGGTGTTGAGATCCGGCTCGTGGCAGACATCTGAACAATAAAAATTTAAATACTGTAAAATTTAATAGTGTAGTGAGTCACGTGGGTACGTGTCACTTGTTGTATGACAAATATA